GCTGCCTGGGTCCAGGCTCCTCCCCCACTCGGCCTTGCACGCAGAAGGCAGGGCTGACTGTCCTCAGGAGGCCAGAGGGGGTTGGGGACAATCCCCTTCTCAGCCCTGCAGAGCCTGGGGTGTCTCCTCCCCCGAGCAGGGAGAAAACTGCAACTGAATTTACACGGGCGTTTTCCAGAGGGTCAGGCTGAGAGTTCTGGGAACTTCTTGGTGGGGTATGTGACCCCCCCAAAAGCTAAGATGGGCCTCAAAGGAAGCTCCGAACTGGGCGTGTGAGACAGAGCTGCAGCGTGTCCTGCCATTCCCCAGTCTGTGTGACCTCGGGCCTGGAGGGCGGCTGCTCTAAGGGCCTTGCCGTCCCTCTACCTGATGGGGCATGGAGAGAGGGAGGTGAGGGCAAGCTCAGGTGAGGCCTTCTGCTTTTACAGAGGGAGACTGCAGCACAGAGAACTGAGTCTCTCACTGGAGACCACACAGCGGGGGTGGGCTGGGGGTGGGGGAGAATGGCAGACAGGCTCTGACTCCAGGCAGGCAGCGCCCAGGCCAGGCTCTGCCTCTTGTGCCTTGCCTACCCTGATGCCATCACACCATTTGTGCCCCACCCCAGGGCCACCACCTGTTGGTCTTCCAGATGTGCAGGGTGTCAGGGTCAGAGATGCCTCTCTTCTCCGCCTGCTCCTCTAGGAAGTCAAAGAAATACTTCACAGCCAGTGGGGGCCTGTCCTCTCGGATGCTCAGGATAGCCTTGAACAGGTCATCCAGGAACTTCTGCAGTGTGCCCTGCAGGGAAGATGGGGGCATCGGTCCAGCCTCAGAGCATCTTTGCGCCTCAAGATTCTTTTTTATTTTTATTTTTATTTTATGTGCATTGGTGTTTTGCTTGCATGTATGTCTGTAAGGGTGCCAGAACACCTGGAACTGGAGTTACAGATGGCTGTGAGCTGCCATGTGGGTGCTGGGAATTGAACTCGGGTCCTCTGGAAGAGCAGCCAGTGCTCTGAACTGCTGAGCCCTCTCCCCAAGGCCCCTGAGCCTCAAGATTCTTGAATGTCTTCTGCCAATGATGCTTTCTTGGCGGGGTGGGAATGCCCATCAAGACCCTGGGGCACAGTGGGGAAGGGGGATCAGAATGTGGGCTCTGGGTGTTGGCCTGAGTCTTGGGATGTGAGGACACGAAGTGCCCCTGGGTCCTTTGCTGCTCACTGGGTGGTGGCAAGAACACACAGACTTCTCCTTGGAGCACAGGACCCCCTTCAAGCCCCTACAGGGGTGGAGACGGAGGCAGGGCCCACCTTGGTAGACAGCAGGCGGGTCAGGTAGATCTCTGGCAACACCTTCTTGCGATGGCTTTGCCGGTGGGACTTCTTAGGCTCTACCAGCTCGTCTGTGGGCAGCACCTGCAAGGTGGGCAGGATTGGCACCCTTCCCAGTCCTCCCAGCCCCTGGGCCCACCTCTGGTCCCTTACCCACTCTGGCTTTTCCCAGGGCCTAGGAGCACTTTTCCTGGAGGCCTGGGGAGGCAGAAAGCCAAAGCCACGCCCAGAAAAGCCGGCTCCCCAGGGCCTGAGGCCGGGCACTCACCAAATGGAAATACTTTTCTGTGTCCAAGTCTTTTACTGCAAAAGGGAAACACAGAATAAACAAATGAGGGGGGTGGGGAGGGTAACCCGAGTCAGGGAGGGAGCGAGGGAGAGAGATGCCCAGAGGACAAGCTGTTGAGAGATGGAGAGAGCCAAGATCTGACTTTTCCACCTCACAGGGATCCTGGGACCCCCCAAGGATCTGGGTCTGGAGCGTGTGAGGGCGTGGTGTGGAGTTGGAGGCTCAGGCCTGGCCGTGGTCATGGCCTCCTAGAAGTGCATGTATCCCCCTGGGGCCTTGCTCTAGCTGTTGGGATACAGCTTGGATACAGCAGCACCGAGGTGGAGGGCCCCCGGGTCCTCAGTTCCCCCCAGCACGGATCAGAGGAGCCCAGGAAGGCAGCTCCCTCACACCCCCGCCTGGACCCCTCCCCCAGCTCCATCCAAGTCTTACCTCGGCCCAGGGTGTTGTCCTTCTTGTCTGTGAGGCTCATGGCTAGGGAGGCACCCTCAGGAATCTGACCAGAGGAGAGAGGAGGTCAGAAGCCAGAGGTTAGAGAGAAGGGGGGGGGGCGGAGGGGGGGCTGGGTCAGGTTGGGCACCTTATAGTGGGCCAGCGTGTTCAGCTTCTTGCGGCCGTCCTCCACCACTGACGTATCATCCAGGTCCCGGAGGACGTAGCTCTGGGTGCTTGAGGCAAACCATTCTGGAGGAGAAAAGGGGCATCAGCGCCAGGGAAGTGGGTGGCCCCAGGGGCAGCCTAGCCTGGGCCACAGCAGAAGCTTATTTTCTCCTTCTGGATTCAAAAGCAGGCCACACCCCTTTGGGAGCCCAGCTGTTCACCCTAACTGTCCAGAGTACAGGGCAGGGGCCTAATGCAGGGTGAACTTGAGGAAGAGCTTCTGGCAAGGGGTCTGACTGTGACTCTGACACATCCCTCCAAACCCAGCCCCCGAGCCCTCTTGGGCAAGCGTTTCTTGATTGCTTTTTGCTGTTGCCCACAGCTGCAGAACAAGGGATTCTTCCTCATGGGGAGCTCCAGGGCCCCGACTAACACAGGGAAAGAGGCTGCAGCAGCCAGCCGCCAGGCGTGGTGCCTGCCCTTGCCCACCGAGGTCCACGTCCTCCGCCCGCGGCCACTGTGAGTAGGGAACGTTCTTGCAGAAGGCTTCCAGGATCTTCTCCTTGACCTGCGTCAGCGTGTCTGTGTCCATGGCCCGCACGCTCAGTGAATCCATACCACAGCCCTGGAAGGACACGTTCAGGTTCTGCACGAGAGATGGGGGTGGGGGGTGTCAGCCAAGGGCCGTCGTCATCATCAGGCCTGGTGACCCCAGCTGGGGAGGCCTGGTCCAGACTGGAGGCCAGGACAGCCCAGCTAAGGACACTCACCCCTAGGGGACCAGTGCCCCGGCCCTGGCTCACCCGGGGCTTGGCCTCAATGTTCTCCCGCAGCAGCCACTCCTCATTGAGCGTGTAGCGGGCTTTCCCCGTGATGGCATCGATGGAGCCTTTGTTGATCTGCTGCTTGATGGCGCAGAGCAGCAAGAAGAAAGGCTCGCCTACAGTCTCCTGTGAGCATCGAGAGCGGCAGGAGTCAGGACCTCCTCAAGCTCTGGCCTGCTGGCCGGCCACATATCCTATCACCCCTCCTCAGGTGTCTCAGGTGGCTGTCACCACCTCCAGGGTGTCTCCACGGCATCCCAGCCACACCGCCAGGGACCAGCAGCCATCCTCACGGGGAGCCTCAGAGAGGGCAAGCACCCTGCCCGGCATTGCACAAAAAGGGAGAAGTAAAACTTGAACTCTGGACTCCCATGCCTGAGGACGAAGCCTTTCTACAAAGCTGGAGCCTGCCCAGGTACGGCTGTGTGGAACCAGGACCCAGAAGAAGCCTCAAGGAAACCCCAAGATGGATGTCTCCAGGGAGCGTCAGCCCAACCAGACTTCACCTCCCACGTCCTACCGCCGCCGCAGCCTCAAGCTGACCTTCCCCGCCACGCTAGGGCTAGGGCCCAGCTGTTCTGTGGAGGGCGGACACCGAACGGCCCATGGTGAATAGGTTTGGAGGGAAAATTAAGTTTGTAATAACATCAGGCTGCTTTGGCAGCAGCGTCGAGGCAGCTGCCAGCCCTGCTTCCTGCTGCAGTGGTCTGGCCTGGGAGTCACCAGCACCCCATTGTCTGGCGCGGGGAGGCCAGGCTAAGGTCACCCACAGTGGCTACCAAACTTGGGTCCAGAGTCTACCGTGGCCCCTGTGGTCCCTGATGGCTCAGAACGTGGCTTCTCTCCTATTTCTTTCCTATTCTGATTGTCCCAGGACGAGCCACAGGGCTCCTAGGGGCTGGGGCGTCATTTGACAAAATGAAACTAAAGTCCAGAGAGGGTAATGACTTGCCCAGAACCACACAGCCAGGTCGTAAGCGACCAGTCACAGCCCAGAACAGTTAAGGTTCTGGTTCTGGGTCCTGTCCAGGCCTTTGCCTTTCTTGAAGGATGCCTAGGTGGTCCCTGGACCTCTGCCACCTTGGGGTAGCTGGATCCTGGGCAGGCCCTCGGGGTGTGCTTTGTGATGTCCTGACTAGCCTGACTCCAGAGAGAGGCCCCGGCTGCCTGAAGCTCTGTGATGTTCCCTCCCCCTTATCTTGGCTCACACTGTACCCTGTATCTGGGCTGCCCCCTTGGCCCTGGCCCCTTGGCTCCTTCCCACTGAGCCCTCAGGGCTCAGGGTGAGTCACCTGCTCCAGGAAACCCTCGTGGCTTTTCCAATCAGGCATCAGCCGGACTGGGCCAGGCTCTGTCTATGGCAGGGGCTGTTCAATACTTGAAGTTTGGCTTCTGTGCCCCCTCCCCTAAGGGGAGGAAGGCTCAGGAATGCAGGGACCTGAAGCTCCTCCAAATGCTGCTCCCCACCCCCCAGGGGAGGGGGCTTGAGGACTAAGGCCAAGGGACAACAACACCCAGCAGCCTCTGGCCTGCCTGAGAGTGCTGTGTGCCCCTGGAGCAGGCTAGTCAGATCTTCACCAAGCTTCTGCTTCCCACCTGTCCAAAGGGGTCCCGCTGGAACGGTACCACCCCCGCCCTAAAGGGCAGACCTTAATGAAGTTAGCTTTGCCTGCAGGGGCGGGGCTTCTGGGCAGAGAGGGGCCTCACCCTCAGGCAGCCATACATGCAGATGGACATCCAGTTGGTAAGCATCTTCTCTACCACCGACTCGGTGCGCCGCAACATGAGCTTCGGGTTCTTGGCGGCCGAGGCGTCGATGAGATCCACCAGCAACTCCTTCATGATGCTCGTGTAGTACTCCAGCTTACCATGCAGTGCGATGGTCAGCAGTGACGCCAGGCTGCACCTGTACGCACGGAGCATCAGTAAAGGTCAGGCCACCTCCCTGCTGGACCAGGGTGGCCCTCCATGGCACCTCCTACAGACAGCCAGAAGAGTCTGCCTGCACCGGGAGCCCGCGTGGGGCAATGAGGAATGTCCGGGAGTCCCAGAGCCTGTGGTGTGATCGTTGGTGGGTGACAGCTGCCCGGGGACCCCTGTGTCCCTGCATCTCACGCAGCCTGACCTGTCGCGCACAGCGAAGTCCTTCTGCTGCTCCAGGGCGTGGACGAAGATGATAAGGAAGTGCTTGTTGTTGAGCAAGGAGGAGAACAAGCTGATCCCCTCCTCCATGCTGGGCCGGCAGTGTTCCGGGATCTGCGGATGTGGAGGGGAACGCTGGTGTTATGCATCCGAGGAGGCCCCAGGGCCCACGCTGGTTGCTTAGATGCCCCCTGGGATAGGGGGTTCACTGCCTGCCACTGGGGCGTGCTTCCTAACTTCTGGAGAAAGGCAGGGTGACAAAAGGACGCTCAGAGGGGCAACCCAACATGCACTCTGTGTGCCCCTTCCTATGTGTACTCCGCGGTGGTATGAGATCATGTGGCTGTGCCCTCTGCCTGGCCAGCACCCTGCGCGGCTGCTTGAATGGAATGCCTCCCAGAGCGGAGGACCCGCTACCTTCTATTGATCTGGATCACAGAGTGGGTGGAAGCCCCTGGGGCCAGGTACTCACGTTCCACTCTCCCAGCAGCGGGTGGGTTTCCTGGGGCGGGGAGCTGCCTTGGGAGTTGAGGGTCTGTGAGGGTAACACGTACCTCTCTTCATAGAGGGAAGAACACTGTGGAGAGAAGCCAGTGCTTTAGCTCTGCAGACTGACAGGCACCGGGGTCGCCGCACGCCACGGAGAGGGGCGGGGCCGCATGGTGGTCGGGGACCCAGGGCTCCCTTAGAGGGGCACAGATCGTGGTGGAGCACAGCGAGAGACCTGAGGCTCAGGGTCAAACAAGAGCCACTGAGCGCTGCAGGAGGGGAGACTGAGGCAGGCGGGGCTGCTAGGTTCTGAGGCTGGGAAAAGCTGGAGGGAGGTTCCTGAACTGGTGGAGCCAGATTTTTCCTTGGCCTATTGCACAGGGGACCAGTAAGCCCAAGGACCCCGGACCAAGAGGAAATGGGAATGTGGAGACCGAGAAGTCTGGCAGGGGCCCGGCAGAGTCCTTACACACCCCCCCCCAGCTCCCTCAGTGAGGGGAGAGGTCAACACGGGGGACATGACAGCAGCCTTCCATATAGAAAGCTAAACATCAAGTAAGCAGGGGAAGGGGGAGAGAGAGGGAACCAGGGTGGCTGTGGACAGGAGTGCCGTCTCCACAGAGGTGCGATGATTCCAATTCCCCCGTGGTGACCAATGCATGCTGGAGGCTGTGTACCTTGGGGAAGAAGGTTCGAGTCACAAAGTGCTTGTACTCCAAGAAGGGGATGCCCTGGCTGCGGTTCAGCTCCTTGGTGAGATCCGTCATGTCTGTCTGCAGCTCTGCAAAGCCTGTGGGACGGAGCGGCAGCCGTGAGCGATCCTGCCCCGCCACGGGCCGCGCCACCCGGCCCTGGTACCCACCTTTGCGGATCTCCTCTCGGATCTGAGACTCCATCTCTTCCATCTGCAGCAGGGTCTTCTGCCAGTAGCGCTCGGCTCGGCGGCTCTTGGTGCAGAAGACGAACAGGGCTGTGGACGGCAGAGGCCGTGAAAAGGGGTCAGCGGGCAGCTGCTGCTGAGGTGTGTGGGCCTAGGACAGGCCCGACCCACGGGCCTCACTGCTTCTAGGCAGGAGGCAAACAGTTGTCCTCAGCTCTTCTGCCCTTTGTCCCTCCCTGACAACAGGCACCTGGGGACCAGCCAGCAGGGCAACCCTTGATGGCTTTTCTTAGAAAAAGAAAGGTGTCAAACAGCCGTCACCAGGGGCTTTCTCTGGGTCAAAGAAGTATGGGCGATTTGTTTCTTCTGCCCTGGTGGGCCTTGTGAGTTCAACTTTTCAAAGCAGTATGCAGTACCTGCCTTCCCTGGGAGGGATGGAGCATCCACTGGTATACAGAGAAATATTGTGGATAGCAGTTTTAGGAAGAAAACATCCAGGGTGTTCATTTTCCTGTTTTCCCTTATAGCTTTTGAAAACTGGACACAGGAATTTAAAAAACAAAACATGGGAGCTGGGGTGATGGCTTACTTGGGCAAGCGCCTGTGTACATGTGAGGACCGGGGTTTGATCCCGGGACTCCTCTAAAAAGCAGGGCATGGTGGCATGAGCCTGCAGTCCGAGGGCTGGGAAGACAGGGAGAGGCAGATGCCTGGGCCCGCGGGCCTGCAGGCCTAGTGAAGCCAGCGAGCTCCAGGTCCCAGGGAGAGACCCTGTCTCAAAACAGAGATGGCAGCCACTGAGCTGCCACACCTCTGGCCTCCAAATGCACACACGGACTCTGTAACCCAGGCCAGGGGGTCTGAGTTTATAGACCATGGGCCATCAGTGTCATCCAGTTTTAGAACATTCCTAGTGTTCAAGGGAGACCCTTACCCTTTAAGGAGTTGCTCCCCATTTCCTCCCTCTCCCAGACAACCACTAATCTTTCTGTCTCTATGAATTTGCCTATTCTAGATACTTCCAATAAAAAATACAGTTGGGCAATATATAGCCTTTTGTGTCTATCTTTTTAATTTTCCATGTTTTCAAGGCCCATCTATGTTGTGGAATATATTGGGACTTCATTCCTTTTTATGGCTGAAAACTCCATTGTATGGATACACCACATTTTAATTACCCATTTATCATTTGATGGACATTGGGTGGTTGTGACCTCTTGATTATTCTAAGTAATATTGCTACAAACATCCGCCTACAAGATTTTATGTGGACGTGGTTTCCTTTCTCTTGGGTAGGTATCCAGTGTGGATTTACTGGGCCATCTCTGCTTAACAACTTTTGGGAACTGAGGCCCTTTCCCAAGGAGAGTGTATCTTTGTCCCCCCCGGCAGTGCAGGGGGGCTTTGCTCTCTCTGCCACGCTGCTTAAACACACGGGATCGTTTCTCCTGAACAACCTCTCTCCGGCAGCCCTCACATTCCTCTGAAGCCAATGGCCCGGGCACAGGAGATCTGACCG